CTGATTGGTTATAGGTAATATATTATGGCTTCTTTGTTGGCGTTTGTGGATGCGCCCTCAAAGTGTCTTTCTTAGATGATTGCAAGAAGGCGCAGTTGGTCGAAATAGCAGAGCATTATAAAATTGCTGTTGTAGGGAGTAAGCGGAAAGATGAGATTAAAGATGTCATTGTGTCATCTTTGCTTGAGCAGGGGGTGTTGCAGAAGAGTGAGTTTGGTGCGGCAGGGGTCGTGCCGGTAGTGGTTCAGACAGCTGGTTTGACGTTCGAGCAGCAAAAAGAGCTTTTGGCCATGCAGTTTGAGCAGGAGAAGTTGAGGTTCATTTCATTTCAAACTTTTATTTAACCAGATTGGTCCCTTGAGATCATAGATCTCTTTTTCAAGGGAGACCTGCAGCAATTAGCTTCCACATGAAACATAAAACAATAGAGGATATCATACAACATATTTACAAGCTACATTTACATACTTATGAACATTTACAAATACCCATAGTTTCAATGAGCATTTCATTTAGACTTGCTTTAAAAACATTCAGAGGAATAAAATTGCTCAGTTTCGATTTGAGCTGTAGACTGTTCCAAGCAAGTGGAGCTGCGGAGGTTGGAGGAGGACAGGTTGCAGTTGGAGTTGAGGTTACGGCAGCAGGAGGTAGAGAAGCGTTTAGAGGTGGAGAAGGTGCTGGAGGTGGAAAAGATGAAATGTGAGGTGGAACATGCTAGATTACGGCTGATTGGAGAGGGCAAGCTTTCATCTGATGGTTCGGCATCAGGTAGTGGCGATGTTATTTCTAACTTGCGGTTAGTGCCAAAGTTTAATGAGCGTGACCCTGACATTTATTTCACTCAGTTTGAACCATAGACTGTATATATACATTTTGTGTTGACGCATAAGGGCAGTTTTACAGAGAATTGTTCTAGGGGTGATTGGAGACGTGGAGAAGATGGTCGCTATTCCCGCGGTGGTGCAAAGTTCTCACCAGGCTCCTCCCGTAGATTTGCAGGTCCGGGGCGACCCGAGGGTGCCAGAGTGGGCCAATGCAATTATTGCCGAGTAGAGGGTCATTGGAAGGATCAGTGTCCATTGCTGGAACCTGAGGGGAAGCCTCGTTTTCCATCACATGCTCCAGCCATGTGTTGTTCTGCCATTTTGGTTAAAAAGCCGTTGGGTGTGGGCTTGGGCATGGTGCCTGATAAGAAGCCGGTTTGTGCCGACCTGGATGTGGGTTCTGGTTTTGAGCCGTTCATCACGGAAGCCGTTGTATCAGTAGTCGGTAGTGACAAGTATGTTCCGATTAAGGTGTTGCGTGACACAGCAGCTAGATACTCGTTTATTGTTGAGTCAGTGTTTGCCTTTTTCGTCGGAGACAGAGACGGGGGATTTTGTACTGATGAGTGGCATGGAGATGGACTTGATTCCTGTGTCACTTCATGCAATAGTGCTAGATTGTGAGCTGGTGCGGGGAGTTGTGTCTATCGGCGTGCGTCCCGCATTGCCACTTGATGGGGTACATATGATTTTGGGCAACGATCTCACTGGTAGTGCTGTGTGGGCTGGTGTGCCAACGCCTGTGGTTGTTTCCAGGCCGTTGGCGTCTGGGGAGCAGGATGAGAGCGGTTTGCAGTTTCGGAGCATTTTTCCAGTTTGTGCTGTGACGCGTGCGCAGACCGGTGGAATGTCTGCTGACCCGCCTGCTTCGGAGTGTAGCAAAAGCAATGTGGAATATGTGGTCTCACAGCCTGATCTCCCTTCGTCTGTGTCAAGGGTGGACTGGGTGAGGAGTCAGAGGGACGGTTCATCTCTTTCTGCTCTGTGGACTGAGTTGTTGCCGGGGGAGGGGGTCGGAGACATAGCCCGGGGTTGCTTTGTTTGGGAGGAACTTCCGGGGCTCGTGTTGGTGTCCGGGGAGGTCGTTCAGGAAGGTACAGGGTTCAGCCCTAGTGATTTGGTCTTTGGGTATGCGGTGCGTGGTCCGTTGGCTGTTCTCCGGGATGGGTTGGTTGAGAGTGAGCCACCTAAGAGATTGGTGGACTGTGTAGGTGGTTTTCGTTGTCGCCTGTATGTAGCGGTGGAGATAGCAAGGAGAAATGTAGCTGGTGCTCAGGCAGATATGGAGAGAATCTATGACCGCAAAGCAGTGTCGTGGGTTCGGCCCGGGGGATCGGGTGTTGGCTTTGGTGCCATGGCAGGTCTCACCATTCCAAGCTAGGTCCAGGGTTGGGGTTGGCTGATGAGTGTGACGTTAAGGCGCCAGATGAAGAGAGCCGAGTTGGCGGATGCTCTCTCGTGCCCCGGTGGGGTAGTAGGTCTCCTAGGCTAACTGGGGGACTGGCGGATTTTTACTTGCGTTGATGTTTTGGTACCTTTTGTTGTTGGTTTTTCGGGGGTCCCTTTGGGGCCTCCGTCTTAAGGGGGGGCTGTGATGCCCCTGTGGGTTCATCATTGGAGAGGGTGTGGCTGTCCTGTCTGTGCTGCATTGATTGCAGTAACTCAGGGCACCTGGGTCTGGTGCCCTGCAGCTATTTAAAGCCTCTCTGTTCTCTCTCTGTTTTTCCCTGCAGGCACCCGGCTCTGTTGAGTATAACACATTCCACTTGATTTGAATTGTTTGTTCTAAATAATGATCTTTTGATAAACGTTGACATGGTGTGTCTCCTCTTTGTTGTGGCCTTTTGAGCTGGGTCATAACAGTGTGTGTATAGGTCTGATCTGGAAAGAGTTGCACAGACATAGAGTCACCAGATGATGGCAGAGTTTGTTCAAAGACACTTAGTTGGGAAATGTTCCTGTACAGCAGAGAGAAGACGCTATACTTTCAAAATAATATTGTATAAACATGTTATATTCTCCATTCGTTTTATTAGTTCTAAAGTGAAATGTGCACTTTTGCAAGTGTAAAGAAACCCTTGTATTTAAAACTGAGTCAATAGTATTTTCATTTTTTTTATAAATAGTATGTCTCCTTTTATACCTTAAGAGCAGGGGTGTCAAACTACAGCCCGGGGGCTAAATGCGCCCCATGGTCTATTTTGAATTGACCCTCAGCAAATTGTTAAAGTATAAAGGAATATGACCCGCTCCTGAAACTTGTGCTTGTATGTAAACATATATTACACAGTATTCACAAGTTAATAAGCACAAATTTCAAATAAATTCAGTCAATTAAAGTTGAAAAGATTTTCTAATCTTATTTCAGAAAAAAAAGCCCAATAACTTATTTGCATAACAAGCTTGAAATAGACCCTTCATATTTCCCCTTATTATAGGTAATCTGAGGCTTCTATTTTAAAGAGATGAGCTGCCAACAAAATAAATAAATCCCCATGAGAGCTGTGATGTAACCAGTTTTCTTTCTTAAAGCATATTCATGTATCAAGCATAATTGACCTATATTTGATTGAGTTTGCGCAAACAGTTATTTAGATTAAACAGTGATTTGGGAAGTGCAAAGATTTTGCTTACTATGTTATTGCCTGAGATCTAGGGCCGTTCAATATAAGGAAAACATACGAACACTTTTTTCAATATTGCCATAATGATATTACTTAAGTGTAATCAGTTCTACCTTTGTGATACCACTCCCTTAGATGGGCATGCCTCTACTGATAAGAGCTTTGCTTGCATTCAACTTTCCTCATTTCACAACGTTCTGCTTCACCTGCTGTAACGTGCTCGGCCTGCAACAGTTGGACTGCCCCATACTCAGAGACTATTTTCATTTGTGTGAGTAGTTTCCTATCCTATAGCTCTCAGGGAAGCTAGGTCGAACCTGGCATAGCAGTGTGTGTCTGGGGGGGGTGAAACTAACCCGCTGCTATTATTTTTAACCCCTCCTTCTCTTTACCCTGACCCTTTGCTCTGCCTCTCTGCTGCTTTCACTATGCTGCTCCAACACAACAGTGCTTGTTAAAAAAAAGTAAATAGAAGAAATTTGTGACAGTATTTTATTAAACACTTAACTGAACAAAAAAGGAAATACCAAAAAATAAAGAATAGGAACATTTCAAAATATTGTTTTCTAATGATAATCTCTCACAAAATCCCTGAGCTTTATATCGCAGTGTTTCACCATGTGTTCCCGTGAGTTTATATCTTGCTATACAACAAAGATGAAGTCCAAGTCACTAATGGCGCATTTCCACTACAGTGCGGAGCTCGCTTTAAGCGTGTCGAGCCGTGCCCGGCCTGTTTTTGGTTGCGTTTCCACTTGGCGTAGTACCGGCTAGCGGGTACTATTTCACAGTTTTTCTGGCCCCATAAAATCGAGGTTCTTTCCGGGCCAACAACCAGGCTGAGTATGCTAAACTAGAGAGAGAATCGCTGGCAAGGGGGCTACAACTACAACAAGATAAACATATTTGACCGTGATTTAATTGTAATACACGTTTCAAAATGATGCCGAAGTAACAACATACTGATACCGGTTAGTAAAAACCATGAATTAATGCTTTGACAAGTCTGCAGACAGACGGCAGGCGAAAAACCTTTTAAAATGCGTGTTGTCTAAATGGAGATCGGCTAAGCTAACGCAATATATGCTCCGACCGTCCACACTCACAACAACGGCCTATACAGACATAAATAAAGCAGCGACTGTATTCACCATGACACAGGCAGTCTGTGGTTTGTACTTGTTTAACTTTTGTCTAGTTTCTGAACATATATGAGGAGCTGTGAGCTCTGAGTGCTAACAGCTAACGGCTGATGTTGGTTTTCTGGGGTTCTCATTGAAGATGACATCACGGCTCCGCCTACACTGCGTTACTATAGATACTACCCCAATTCCTAAACTGTAATGGAAATGCGCCATAGAGTGAGCCAGTCCTAATAAGGCCTAACGAGGCCTAGCCATACCGAGCGAGGCCGTGTAGCGCCATTAATCACTTCACAATTAAATCACTGGAGAAAAAACAATGTGCCTGTCCCAAATACAGAACAAACGTCCTTGTTTATCTCCTTCCACCTAAACAAGGCAAAAAGACAAATCAAGCACATACAATGTCACATTATAAAGAATTTATTGCAGGCAAACAATACCATAAATAATATTTACAAACTATGAAACAACATTCCTTTTTATGGGCTCAATGAATTGCTGGTAAACAGTCTTTCCGTCTTGGGATAAGTGGGATATAAATAATCCTTTCCTGCAGTTAACACTGTCACACTGACCATGGATTCTGAACATTTTACTAAGGACTATCAAATGTTTAAAAAATAAAAGAGTTCTGTCCAACTTCACCTCCCAGGTTATGACTAAATTAAGTATTTGTTTCTATTAGACCTAACAGTACAGCCTTTCATTTCTCCCAATTGGACTGCAGTCACTTATATGAATGCTATCAACCTGACAACAGTCACAGGATAAAGGCTGTATATGCATTTCTGTATGTAGTAAAGCAACCCTTACCGTCTTACAGTGCATTTCACATTAGGATGAGGCCTCTGAGACAATGAATGGAGTTTTTTGGCCTGTTTATGCATGGGGCATTCATAAGAACTTAACCATTATGCACACAGTCGATGCAATCGGCCTTTCAGGAAAGAACTCAAAGGAAAATAAATCCACAGCACACCATTTCCCTCTTGGCATTTTGTTTAGGCGTAAAGGAAATAAATTCCTGAAAACAATGTAAAAGCAACAAAGAGGGAACTGCTATGTCCAAAGAAAAACTCTTAATACCGTTAATATTTTTGAACAATTAACCCTGTTGATTGTCCCCATTTCCAATCAACCCTGACTTAAATAGTGTCAGAAGTGCTATGAACAGCTCTTTTTATTCAAATGCTTTTTAGCCTTAAAATAAAAGTTTGAACATATCGGATGCTAGTTAACTTTGCGTTTCAACATTCCAAACAAGTTGAGAATTTAAATTATGTGCCTTTTGAGACTCTCAGACTTTCACCGTCACGTCATTGTTTTCGTTTCATCTCTGCTTCTAAACAAAATGTCTCATAAGCTTCTTCTATCTCAGGCTCCATCTCGTCTTCAGAGTCGAATCTGTGAAAACAACAAAACCAATCATTTACTTTTTTAGATCTTTAAAAGACAAATGTGCTCCTGAATGTATGGATGTGTATCTATTATTAAGCGACCTAAAATATGGGTTAGAAAAAGGCCATTTACACAATGCACAATAACAGAGCCAGAGTTCACAGAGAGGATAGCAGTGAGCTAAGCCCTCTTTCACACTCATCTGCTGACTAAACTGAAACCCAGGCAATGGTTCACCCTGTTGCATTGTGGGCTAGTCAATCACACTAACCATGCTCAGGGGCCCACAGGTGATCATATGACCTGTGGGAAGCTGCATTCAGACGCCCTTTATTCATCTATATGAGCCCATCCTGATTTCCGACATGCCTATTCCGATATCTTTCTTTGTAAAACTTTAACTGACAGCATATACAAACATTATTGTCAGTTTGAAAAATTGTAATTCAATTAAAAATAACACACTGACTAACTTACATCTTCTCTAAAACAGCACTTATTTGTTACAGCAGCCTCTTGTTGTCTAACCCCAGTGTTTCCCCTCTATACAAATAGAGGCGGCGCAGCTGCTAGGGGGCACCAGCCAGGTACTCCGTCCTAGGGGAAACACTGAACCCTGTTTAAGGTTTTTTCCATAACGGCGTGTTTGTGACGTTCTGCCTCGGCCACTGTGTACGCAACTCAGAATATCATGCGGTATATATAAAATATATATTTATATAGATACTAAATCACATCACTAACATCTTTGAATTATTCTGAGGGTCGTTGGGTTCATGTCCAACTAATCTTATAAAACACAAGTATCATCGCAGCTGACTGCTCAGTCTCCAGCTGAAAACCAATGTACAGAAACATAAAAGGATGTGATTGCCATTGATATAAGTTTTCTTATAATGACCGTTATATCTTTGAATGGTATTAATAGCAACTATGAGAAACCGGTCCCTGTAATGGCTGGGACCTAAAAGTGAAGCATGCATAAGCCATCTATATATTATTTATCCTCTGATATCTTGTTGTATGACTGTGTTGTGATTGTGTGTTTTAAAATGGTCTGTAACTGTGCCGTTACCATTCTTGGGCCAGGACTCTCTTGAAAAAGAGATTTTAAGGTCGCATTCACACCTAATAGTCCGCTTCTCTGGTGCGCACCAGGCGACAGTTTGTTACATTGTTTCATTTTTCAGAAGGTTCGGTTTGTTCACACAGGCAAAATTCAAATGGACTATAAACTTTAAACACAAGTCATGTGCTCGGAAATGCTGTTCAACAATTGGTCAGACATTAAGGGGGTAAAAACGCAAATCCCGGCAATTTCTACCAGAGCCTCCGCCATGGAGCATCGGCAGGTTATTTTCATGCTGTTAATATGGAGAGCATATCAACAGCAATGGCGCATATGATTATATAATCAGACTACGTGCGATACAAAACATTATAACACATATAATGAGAGACGTTCTGCAGTATGGAGGGGGTTTCACCGACGGCAGGTGGCTCTGACTTTTATGTATAGTTTTTTGTTTGATAGTTGTTTTTACTTTACACGACACTGTTCAACACTTCATTCTGCTTCACTCTTTCGCTAACGATTTTGAAGACACCCGCGTTCTTGTGACACGTAAATACTACGCTTCCTATGTTTTGGTGCGGACTGCGTTCACACCAGCGATGAACCGCTCCAGAGTTCACTAGCAAGCGGTCCGAGACCACCTATTTTAGCGGACCAGAGTCCGGTTGTTTAGTTCACTTAAGAGGTCTCGGACTGTGTTCACACCGACCCAAACGAACCGCACCAAGCGGCTAAACGCACCAGGGTTCGAGTCAACCGGACTATAAAAGGCTGGTGTGAATGCGACCTTAATCTCAATGAGACCTATCCTGGTTTAACAAAGGAAAAATAAAAAATAAAATATGTACTTACAACTCGGATTCGCTTCCATTTTCTCCGTCAGTGTCATTGAAATACTCCTGCCTGTCCAGGATCTCTTGGTATTTCTCACCATAATCTATGAAAGCCGAGAAAGGGACATTAAGGCACTGGTGCTTTATGTTGCAGACCATATTTATTAACGCTAAGCAACATAGTGCATAATAAACAAAAGAAAAGTACATTTCTATCAACACTTACACCCATGAAAACAGTAGGGTGCCTGTATTTCAATTCATAGATCTGATGCAGATTATTTTACTTAGAAAAACACTTTTTAACATAGTTACTAGTAAAACAATAATATATCACAAGCTATAGAGAAAAATGAATAAATAAGAAATATCTGGCCTCCTAACATTTTTAAAGTCTTCTAGCCTTTTCGTTTTCGTGCAAATACGATACAGAAATTACAGTTGTTTCTAATGTTTTTATAACAGTATAGAGCATGATTTAGCATGTCGACGGTGGCTGTGATTGACAAACAGTTGATAACCTGGTAGCAAACCTCATATTGCCCGCTACTGATCTATCACACACGTGTTTACAAAGTTTCACCTGGGTCTGCTGCTGTGAAAGGAGTCCCGTCTTGTGTGTAGAATGTGGGTTCATTCTGAGAGGGGAAGAATATTTCATGAAAAACAGAAATGCAGAGAAAAAAGAAGAGGAATGGGAAGAATGGTGAAGGTGACCCTCACCATGAAGTAGTTGGGGTCGTTGTCTGGCGTGGCGTTGCTGGCTGCTGCAGCCGCTCGGACCCTGCCCCAGTCACTCGATCTCAACTCCACTAGTTTCAGGAGCATCTGTCGGACATCCCTGAGCACAGAAACACTCCCATCAATACATTTTCCCAGGGTGTAGATTAGGGATTAACTCTCAAAAGTTCAGCTTTTTGGCACCTTTTCTTAGTTTATGGCTGACGATATATCAGTGTTTCCCCTAGGTGTACTGCTTTGGGGGGGTGCTGCCTGAGCGTGGGGGGGGGGCATTGGGATATATTTTTTTTTAAATCCTCTGGAGCAGAGAGGTGCTGTGGATTATTGTTATTGATGAATGCATCAGTGTTTCTTAGGGTCAAAAACACTAAACTCACAACTTAAAATGAAAGCGTTTAGTTTATTTAATAAAAGAGCACATGTTCAATGTGAAAAGTGACAGTAGATATAGATTAGTTGCAATTTGGTGCTATATATATATATATATATATATATATATATATATATATAAAAAGAAAATTAATTAAAATGTAATTATATTCAAATGTAATTATATTATATATATTTTGTTTTAAAGGAGAGGTGTCATGCTTTTCCAGTTATTACCTGTCCCCTTGTGTGTTATGAAGGTTTTTATGCATGTAAACGGTGTGCAGAGTCAAAACCCTCAAAGTACACCCTGTAGCGAGTAAAACTCTAACACAGAAAATACCTCCCCAAAACGCCTCGTTGGAGATACGTCATTGCCCATTTGAGTCTTCCATTTCGTTCCGGGTACGGCATGATGTCAAGCGGTACCCGGAACGAAATGGACCAATCCCGAAGAGCCGTTACGTTAAGCCCCCGCTGATTGGTCCAAATTGACCGATCCATGGACTTCCTCACACACACATCTGTGTGCAGGGAGCAGACAGCTCTGCTGATTTCTCCTCCCTGGCTGCAGGCTGATAACAGACAGTTGGGATCGCGGCAAAATTCTCTCTGCAGACCCATTCTCACAGCGTTTATCAACCTTTTTCTTACTCAATATCAAGCCAAACTTATTGTTTTTACTTCGGATGTGAGTTTGTGTGTGCTCAGGATGAGTTTGGCTGTGTATCGCTAACAAGGAAACAACACCTCCACGGAGCTCAGCGCGATTCACAACGTCCCGACCAATCAGAGCACACTGTGCTCACAGGGAGGGTGGGGGCTGGAGCTATTGGAGCTTCAACGAGCCGTTAAAGGCAGAGAGTGAACTTCAGTGAATACACGTATTTTACAGAGATGCTGTATGAGAAACCAATGTGAGTTTGGAAAAATGCACAATATAAATCTATTCTAGTATACCTCAACAATGGAATTATGATCAGTGGAAATGGCCATGACACCTCTCCTTTAAACACCTTGAATTTCAGGGGGGGCGCGGGACTCCGTTGGCGGGGCGCAGCGCCCCTCCAAGACAATGGTAGGGGAAACACTGTATATGTTACAAGTGTTTAGTGTGAGTGTGTGTTAAAAAGTAGGGATGTATTGTATGTATGTATTTTACGTCATGTGATCGGCTCTCCCGATCGGCATTTATATAGAGCACCGATCGATCCCTAAATACACTTCATTATTGTTGAGGAAAGAATATATTTTCTCAAGTAGAATCTGGCACAACACAGCACATCACTGTACCCACCTGCTGCAGGTGGCATCCAGTACAATATTTTCTATTCTTCGGATCAGTTCATCCATGTGCCGTTGTCCACTCTCTTTCCACGTGTCATCCAGGACCGAGCCCGTCAGCTGTCAATTTAAAACATTTTCAATACCTTCCCAAAAAGAAAAAAGATCGAACTGTCCAGAAAGATCTTGATACAATTGTTTAGACGTATTTAATTGAGAATGGAAACCTTAAGCAGCTTGACAGCGCAGATGAGATTTGCGTCCACCGGCTTGGAGAACAGACTGTTCATCAGGTCCTTCAGAGCCGCGAGAAGGATCACTGCTCGATTTGGAGGTCCTTTTGCACTTTTAATCTAAATAAAAAAGGCAAATTATTGACTGGCACTACTGTGACGACTAGTCCAGGCATTAGTTTCAACCTAGTCTTTATATAAATACAATTGTTCAAGTTAGGAAGCAAACATAGTTAATCCACCAAATGTTTCCTTTAGTGCCACTGGGGCAGCATGTGGGACTGCAACAAGTTCACAACCTGCCATTGAGTGAAGCTAAATTAAAAGGGTAAAAGGAATAGAATATTGCATTGTGTACATTTCAACAAATTGATTAAATAAAAGCTGACGACTTCAAGGTGGGGTAGGTCATTTAGAAGAAACCAGCTCGAGATCGCTAGAATTTGAAAATACACAACCGGAAAAAATCTGCCACTTCCTTACAGAGCCCCTCCTCCAACACACACGAACGCGCACATGACCAATGAGGGCACGAGATAAGTTTGTGCACAGATGGAAGGCTGACAGGCAGGTAGGCCATCCAGTTATTTTAGCCGGGCCGGCTAAAATGATTGGTCGTGCTTTTTACAGTACTACGGCTTCCATAGATGACATTTTATGGATTTTTTGTCAAAGCACTTAAGATATTCATTGCTATCGGGATGTTAAGAGCATTCCATGGAATATAACAAAAAGTGTATCTCGAGCCGGTTTCTCAAACTTACCTACCCCACCTTTAAGGAATGTAATGTGGTCTCGAAGACGATGTCTTACCTCGAGGCTGAGATAGAGCTCTCCCAGGAAGAGCACATAGGAGTGGAACTTCTTCTGAGTCTCTTTGTCTCCTCGTACAGCTGCATCCCTCTGTTCATACTCTTTCCGACACCTAGGGCAGACGCATTATAGCTTTTAAACATCACTTTGAATGAACAATGACAGGTCCAATGCTTCCTGGCCTTATTCTCACTGAATAACTGAGTGTAATATAAAACATATTCCTACTCTCTACTGCTGCTGCTAGTGTGAAGCTAATATTTCATCCTTATTTTACCCTTTTCAACAATCCAATTATCAAAATATTTGCATTTCATTAAAGATAAAGGGACTTTGGTCATAAGATTTCATCTACCCCGATATCAACCTACATTAAATCCAGTAAAATATAAACAAATCACCTTTTTAGGAGCAGCTGACGAAAGTTGCCACTTGGAGGGCTGACGGTGAGATGATGAGACAGGTAGTTACAGAGCCGGGCGCCCGTGTACGAGAAGTTCGGAATGGCAGTAGACTGCAATGAAAGGAAGAATTAATACATTGTCTTATACCATTGTGTGGTTCACCAGAAACATGCATATATATTTATATTTCGATGTGCATGCTTTGTTAAGACAGGTTTGGTTTAAAATCATATTGTTTGTTTACTATTCATACACACTAGGGATGTGCATCTCCATCACTGAGGCCGATGCGATGCGCATCTCGATACGTTGCCACGATACGATACATTTGAAACACCAGGCGATGCGATACGATTCACCCGTTGCGATACAGTTCGATCCGATTTGATTCAACATGATGCGATGCGATGCATCCCATCATGCTGTTTCTTTTTTACATTAAAAAACTCTCCAGAGTACAGTACAATTGTATAACACCTCATAGTTAAACAATTTAAGGATGCATTGCCTATGATTAACAATGTGCAAATAACAACTACCATAGTGCAATGCCCATACAACTGCCAGCCTGATGTGCTTAACACTCATTCATAGGCTAACTCACCAGTGAGCAGAGGTGTGGTTTCTATACTGTATGAACAATAAAGAATACAAATAACCTTTCACAAACAGGTATTTCATAACTGCTTACAATTGTAAGGAAAACATTTTAACTATTATTGGCAGTCACAGCTGTTGTAAACTAAACACCACTCTCACTGACAGAACACCTCACTGAGTGATTGAACTCATGTCTAACTTTCAGGTTTCTCTTTTCAGCCGCAGACCCCATGTCGCCTCTTTATGTGCGTCGCTAAGTTCCTCTTACTACTTGTGTACTTTAAAGCGGCACGGCATCGTTTACAATTTGCGAGCGATTTTTCAAGTTGACCGTCTTTCTTGAACAATCTTGCCAAACGTTTGATTTGTAGGTGTTTTTCGGTGCGCTGTGTTTCTTTTTCTCTTCGACTTCCATGTGTGTTAATAACTGAGACTCTCGGCCTCCGTAGTGCGAAGCAAAGATTGTCTCTGCTGAGTGCTGACAGGATGAGAGGATATTATATGAATGAATCGTTTTTTTACCGATGCAAAGACGCTACAATCGATGCATCGCGAGTTCAACTGTAGCCGATGTGCACTCTTTCAACCGGTGCACTCGCATCTTGAACGTTTATGCCGGTGCACCGATGCGAATCGGTGAATCTTAACATCCCTAACACACACAGCAACATGAGAAGTGATTGTGTGTCTCTAACCTGTGTGTAAATCAGCTCCACCAGCTCATTCAGCAGCTCCTCAGTAGTGACCCAGGAATTGAGCATCGCCGTTATCTGCTCAACGTCAGACTCAAAGGAGCCTGGTGAGGAGCTCAGGTGGGCCAGGAAGTCTGTCACCGTCTCAGCCAAGGTTTGTTCCTCATAATAGCTTGTGTTGCCGTCATCATAAAAAGAGGGGTCCTATACAAAAATCATAATACGAACATGAACAACTATTGAAAAACCCAGAACACTTTCTTGTGCTGATGCAATCATAATTTAGAAGTGTAAGCTTAAAAAGAAAAAGATAAACTTTAACTCTTTACAAAAGCAATGATAGATGTGTTACTGACACAGTTCCTGTCTCCAATTACAACAGCAGTAAAGAGAAAAATGTTTCAAAACACATAAAGAAAGGAAGTTACATCATCAGAATAAAGGCATAATATCGTTACTCTTACTTCATACGAGTTCATTCCAGAAGGGACAAACTCTGGGGCACTCGCTGAAAGCTTTGACGACTGGACCAAAGAATCCACTTCATTAAAACCTCTGGAGGCAGACGTACTGTTGGCATTTGCACTTGGTTGGAGTTTGCTCGGTCTTTTAAAATCTAAAAATGGAAGAAAGATATTCTCAGTCATAGTTACATCTTTAACTACTCATCCAACATGGGTGGATTCTCTCTCTTTTTTCTTTAAAAAACAAGCTGGCGATAGTCTATAGTGTTGCTGTCGAAGTTAATAATGAAACAATGTTGATCTTTCAGTAGGTCCTCAATTAGAATATTTCATTTTGAGTTATTTTCTAAAAACAGCCGAGCTGAACACTGCAGTTTGTTTTTAGCAAATCTCACCAATTAGTATATTTGAATACTTCTTGGACTGCAATTAAAGTCTATGGCACAGAGGAACAAGCTTCATCGGGTTATATGGGCACATATAAGATATGGGCACAACATGTTTTGGGCACAACAGAATGAAAAGCAAAAAAGACAACAGGGTGTAAAAACAGTCAATACACAGTTAACAGAAAGAAATACCTGTGCTTAAAAAGTACAAAACATTGATTGAGTAACTTATATTGAGTGCAAAGACATAGTACTGCACACAATACTATGGTATACTATGTGCTGCTGTGAGAAACTGAGTTTCATGCAGGATTGCAAATCATGCATATGTGCTGATCTCAGCTCTCTGTTCCCATGCTTATTGTTTAGGGTCATACTATAGGTGCGGCTAGAGTACAGTACACATCAACCTAGTGGAGCTATCTGTGGATTGGTTGGCTGTTATCCCAGGAAATAATACCAGAATCTGCTGTGATATTTATTTTAGAGGCAGATAATATCAGTACAATTCCCACCAATACTAGTTGATGCTAACTTTCATTTTGGGATATTTTTCAACATTAAGTTCTTGCTTTTGCCTTTGTAATCACGTGGTGTGTTGACCATACAGAAACACACAATAGTGCTGTGAAAGGTCCAAACATTAGACTCATTCTGATAGTTTCACATCTGACACAGATAATAAAGCTTTAGTGATACATTCTAAACCGTGAACTATCTCCCTGGCACTTTAATTCCTTACTCCTTAGCGCCAGCTGCTTGATCAGATTAAAGGGAGCAGAAAAGGGAACTATTTTTGCCACTTTGCTCTGCGTAGACAAACGTTAGAGTGGCTATAACGAAAGATTGCTCCAAAAAGTTATATCTGGGTAAGACAGTTTTAAATGTGGTACGTAACTAAAGAACCATGCGATATCTGAGTGGGAGCTTTTTTTAGACGGAGCGTTACAAACACAATCCAACAGGTGCATGTCGCAACAGCAACATGCTAAAGCAAGCTAACATTAATGGTATTTAGCAGCTAGCTAGCGATCATTAATTTCAACAACAGATTTAACCAGGTAACACGAGGATATTAACCCTTAACGCTTGTCAGTAGAACTATTAACCGAAGGTTATGTTGTGGCTACTATTCATTTTACGTAAAAACAGTCTTTGGCCTTCACTTGTAATGTCAGAGGGGGTCGTTTACAAGGAATCGAATGTGAAAGTAGCTAGCTTAATTAGCTCAGTTATCGCCGTTGTTAGCTCGTTGACAGCCCCATACCTCCAGCAACCATGGCGTCGGCCGCGCTTGTGCTGTTTTCAGAAGGCGGGGATGTTCGCGGCTGTCTCAACGGCTCCCTTTGGTTGAAAAGCGGGGCTTTGGGGTCTCCATTGCCGGTGGACCCCACAAGCCCGGGGTCCGCGGGAAAATGTCGGGATCTCTCTGCTCCGGGTGCTCGGTTAAAACAATCTTCGTTCATGGTTGCTCGTATATCTCAAAGATGAAGATCAGCAGTTCACTTCTTTTTGTGGTGCGTAGCATCAATTACTTGTGTTTTAAGACCATAAAACACGCCCTATCTCTCTTTCATGATGCCTTTTACTAAATCGGCTAGTATCACGGCGTATACACACAACTTTTTGTTGGCCACTTCCTTTAACAACAAACTCGTCGTTGCTGATGATCCGTGACAGTGTGCAAAATCAAAGTGTCTCCTTCTGGTGGCGTGGAGGGCAAAGCTCAGCCATAAATGGTGCATCTCGCTGACCTGGCTGAAATTAAGGAAGACGTGATCACTAATGGTAAAATAATTCAGATTTGTAACTCCATAACATGTAAACAGTCAACTATTAATTATACATATATATATATATATGTTACTTTATAGGAAATGTTCACACATTAAAATAAATATGAGAATAAAACATTTAAAAATAAGGTATTTGACTCCAATTTTAAGCTGTCATTGTTCCTACACAAAGTTATGACTACAGCTAAACAACAAAGACAAGAAAGCTGCACAAAATTAAACATATACATTTATATATAAATCATAGTGCTTCTTTAAGTTGAACTAAATAGGAATACATGCATTATATTTAACCGACTTGGTGCCTGACCATCATTCAAAATATGCTGCTGTGGCCTGAATTTTTGAATTATTAATGTCACAAGTCGAAATTCGACTAAATAACACACAAACAATTTGACTAAATGTGGAAAATGTCTTGGTTAAAATGAACTTGTATTGACTTTAGTTACAGTTACTTGGATGGTTTTGCTTCTAAAACCCTATCTATGTGACCTATAAAGTCCTGTATGACTCGAGCGTCTGCGTTTTTTTTTTTTTGGGTTTCAGGTTATCTGGATGATGGACCTGTTAAAGTGTATGAGTGGTTGAATATGTAAAATGACGTAGTATTGATTTATTATATCTGCAAAAGCACTGTTGTACAATTTTGTGGAGCTAACTGATATATCTGACCCACATTTATGCACCACAGAGGCGATTCTGGACCTGTGCAGCCCCTCCAGAGAGCCTCCCACCCTGAGCTCTCTCAGTAGCTGCCCACTACAAACATGTGTTGCACCAGAGCTCTCAGTGTAAGTATTCATTAGTTGTTTGAGCCTCCAGCCATTTTCCACTTGTTTCCCAAAGCTGGATCACATTATGCCACAGAGAATTCCCGTGCCAGAATAAGGAAACCCACTTCGATAAAACGATTACTGCCCCTTATTTGCTATTATTGTTGTTTCTCCCCCAATGCCAATGTCTTGGTGGGAGTTCAAACATTCACAAATCTCTAGAACGCACAATGTGATATATGACTATAGGATTGTTGTTGAGCGGGAATCATGTGCATAGCCACCATTACAGGTTTTAAATGCAAGAGAGTGGAGTTTGCGGCTTCATCAGTTCACATTATGTAGATTACATAACGATTTATTGTCTGCATCATTAGTTTGCATTTAAAGACAAATATAGGGAAATGCAGTGCTACAGAGACCAAATCAACCTTCCCATTGTGAGGTCTTTCTTGTAAATTTAGTGCAGAAATATAAGTAAATGAAACCAAAAATATATACCCTTGGCCTCAGCAACAACAACACCACATTGCACAATCACTTTCATAAGCAGAGAAAATGCATTCGACTGTGTATGGTGCAGAGATTGTGATGAAATACTATTTCATATGTTGCCATTGGCCCTGACTGTCATGGTGGATTCCATTGCAGCATTCCTTGGCATTAATCATTTGTCGCGGTGATTCCTTAAACGGCAATGAAAGGACAATATACTATAGCCTAAATAAACTGTTTCCTGTACTATTAATATGATTCACATTGCTTTTGTTGCTTTGGAGTCCCACTCACAGGCCAACTTGGATAAATGTCTCTTGCCACCGGTCTCTCACCTTCCTGTCTAATCTACTCTCTTCGTCTTCTCGTGCCTTTGCTGAGATGGATGTTCAGAGAGGCGGGATAAGAGAACATGAGGCCCGGAAGCCTGTGGTGTTAATGTTCTCCCCGTGGTCTTTTGATCTGGCATCAAGGCAGCTGTCATTGATTAGTGTGTTTGTAGATGATTACTAAGGGAAATGGGTGGTCAGACACAGGTCATATCTCTCTTTCTGCCTCCACACACTTTCAAGGCCCTGCAGTAAACATATTGGCAGAAGTGATGCTGTCCAACATGACAGAGCTAGTTTGATATTTTAGATTTTTTGTGGCAGATCTGTAATATTAGGATATTATGTCACCATCTACAGGCAATACCACAGAAGGAACCTCCCTCCCATTTTCTTGTCGTTGGTCTATATGTTTCCTGTTTGCTTGGGTAATGATCATTAGTGCAATGGTTGCCACATGGAAAATCTGGCGAGGCATTACAGTTGCCTTTTGGCCCTCAGATAAGAATAGACTAACTGTGACCTGAAAGTTCACCAGGGTTTCTCACTTCTTGCTGTTCCACTTCAGTAAAATCCATTTCCGTGTATTGAGGAAGTCAGACAACTACATTGCAGAGGAGAATTTTTTATTTTATTTTCACATAAAAGAGTTCCTATAAAAAGTAAAGAATGCAAAGGAATGCTTGCCTTGTAAGTATTCCCCTCCAGTTAAATATTTCACAAAAATAAATAAATCATTACATTACAGTCAAAACACAGTGGTTAAGTATCAAACATTTGCTTTAAATGTGTTGCATCCTCTATTATTCATGCTGTGGTGATGAACTGACCAATCATGTCCCTCATCTTGTCTAGTCTCATCTCTCCTTTTATCTTGCGGATTATCTGGGTTTTCACTGTAAAATGTGGATTATAAATAACATCTTCTGCATCTACCGCAGTATTAGCTGTGTTGTCTGCATTACACACATACTCCAGTTGCAACAGTTTGGCACAGAAAAGAAGGATAAATATTGCATCCGGTGCCACAGAAAACACAGATATCATCCTTTCCCACTAAATAAAGTACGTGATCTCAGTAAAAGTCAGGAGCAGATACCATATTTTTTTGTGTAACAGTGTTAGTGCCTTGTTTCCAATATGAGATTTCTCAGTGAATGTCTTTATTTTACAGCTTTTTTATTATTGAAAACCTCTCTGTCCAGTGCTGCTTATCCTCCTCCCCCTGTTGATCCCTCCAGTTCACACCATAATTGGAAGGAAGTGGGTGGCCGTGTTCTTCCTGCGGGTTTTCTTCCCTCTCAGCGGCTTCCCGTGGACATTCAGACCCACAAACATCTGCCGCTTCTTGTTCCTCCACTCAGCTGATGCGTACGTGTTGTAGCCGTTCTCCTCAATGCGCTCCTTCAGGGTGCAGTCAACACCGAACTCTCTCTGTAAAAACAATAGGTATCACGTTTCAATGTTTTAACCCAGGCATGTGAGGTTAAGGCAAAACACACATCATTTTCTTGTGCAAATCCATTGTGGTTGCTCATGGTACCGTGTTTATTTACTACTCCTCCTTAATCCATATTGCATGTTTTGCTTTGTGAGCTTGAGTAGAAGTTAGTGTGCTCTTCTAAAATTGCATAGTTAGAGGTTAACGTGTGCGCACTGGCCTGGTTGTTTTTAGAGTTGACCCAGCAGTTAGAGAAGTAAAGATAAGACCTCCTTTGATAAGGACAGACTATCTCTCTTTCTCTGGAGCGTTCAGATTGACCCCTGACCCGGATACTAACCGCTCCGTACAGCTCTCCCTTCCTGCTGATAGCCAGATAGTAGTTGCTGTTCAGCCCTTTGATGGCCACCACTCCCACGTCCACCGATGTGATTTCCAGAATGCCTAGGGTTCAGCAAAAAAGACAGTTACATCAATGTGTGTCAACATTCACAGTGAGCATAGGAGCCTGATGTCATTTGTGCATGTAACTCAACTGCTGAGATCAAAACACTTAAAAAAAAAATTCACGTAGACAAAAAGAAAACAAAGAAAAAAAAAACGTGTTTTTGACTCGTAGTTGAGGTAGATGAGTTTACAGAAATGTATAAATAAATCCATAAAGTTTTACAGAACTCGGAGAGGGTGAGAGTAACGAACGGATAACAAAATATTGCACGCTCATTCCAGGACATTTAGGAACACACAGTGTGGGAATTCTGCGTAAGTCCTTAAGCAAGATTTATCGTTTTGTTGATATTATAAAGGCACTTTACAACCTACACCTGTGTAACAGATTCCAGCTGCGCAAGCCATTTAGTTTGAAAATTAATAGGTGGATACCGCAGAGATTCTCAGGTTGTTTATGTTCTGTTTGGTATTTAGGTTTCCAAGTCCCTGTGCAAGCAATTCAGGGTTCTCATAGGCTATTAGAGGGGCTAATTTATACCCCAGTTAACAAGGGCATGCTTTTGCCCCCGACAGCTGTGGTTATTTGTGTGGTCTAAGTATCAGAGGTCAGAGAGATATAACTTCCTAACGTGTCCTTTGACCACAGAACCTACTTGTCTCGTCTTATCCTGTGTGTGTGTGTGTGTGTGTGTGTGTGTGTGTGTGTGTGTGTGTGTGTGTGTGTGTGTGTGTGTGTGTGTGTGTGTGTGTGTGT